TTATTGGCGTGATCTTTCAATTTGACGGTGAAATGAACCAACATTTATTGAGCACCACTGTTTGCCAGCCAAGTCCTGTGCTGGGCACGGAGGTGGGGGGAGGGGATGTGGCAGGCGGAGAGAGTGAGGAGCCAGAGAGAAACTCGAGCCCAGATGGGGACCCGCAGGCATCAGTGGAGTCCGGGGGGCACCCAGCAGGTTCCCGACGCCCAGGAGCAAGTCAGAGGCAGGCGGTGGAGACCAGTGAAGGGCACTGCTTGTGCAGGGGCCAGGGCGCCCCGGGGAGCCTGGGCGGGCGGGGGCGGGGCTTGGGGGCACAGGCACCCTGGCTCCGATGGCCGCTGGGCGGGGGGCCCTCTGTCCCACCTGGCTGCGGCATCGCGCCAGTCCAGGGCGCCGTTTCTCTGTGCAGGCCCTGGAGCAGACTGGGCACCTCTGCTCTTGACCGGGCACCGGCTCCCAGCCCCCAGCCCCACGCGGACAGGCACATGCCAGCCTCCCCTCTAAGAGCTGGGGTAATCGCCCGCGCCCCCCCAAACCCACAGGCGGCTTGGCGCCGCACGAAAGACTTTTTCTTCGTCTGCTTCTGTCTCTTAGTCTGGCTTTCGCTCCCTGGCTGCTCTCTCCTCCCCGCTGCCCTCCCCCATGGCAGGATGTCGCAGTGGTTAAGAGCTCAGGTTCCTTACAAGCCTCTGTTCAAATCCTGGCTCCCATTCCAGACATCACTGTGTTTCTCCAAGCCCCAGGCTCCTTCCTCATCTACAGGAGGAGGAATCCCAACAGCCCCTCTCTCCCGGGACCGGGTGGGAATTCAGCCCCTATTGAACATGCAGTACCCAGGCCGCTGCGTGCTCAGTGGGAGCTGCCATTCTCCCGCAGACGCTTCTCATTCCAGAGGCAGCACCTGCTCTGGGCTCCCGTAGCAGACCTGTCCAATCTCAGCAGAGGGGGCACAGTACAGGGGGTGCTGGGATGGGGCAAATTCAGGGAGCCGCAGGGGGTGGGACAGGGATGCGCCCTGGAGGCCCGCATTGCCTAGGAGGAATGAAAGGTGGGGAGCTTGCGGGATGCCCTGCCCTGGCTCCTGTCTAGACTTGGGGCTCTCCCTTTTTGTGCTCCTCCACAGTCCTCCCAGCTGAGCCGGAGGCTGCCTGTCCCCTCTGTCATCCCCCACTCCCAGTGAGACCTTGGCTCAGGTCCCCAGAGCCAGGGCTGTCCCGAGTCCTCCTGCAGTGGTGCCATGACCTTGGCCTTTGGCCCACTCAGACCAGAATGGCTCCCACCCCTCCCCCTGCTTCGAGCTGCGTGCTCCGCCCCTCCACCTGCTCCCACCACCTGGCATGCACCAAGCAGAACATTCTGGTCCTGTGAGGTTGTGAGCACTGCTCCCCCTCCACCCCTGTGGGCCCCCAGCTCAGGTGCCAGTGCAGGGGGGCCTTTTTCTTGCTCAGGAGAGGTGGGATGGTGAGGGGATCAGGGGCTGGGGGTCAAGGGTCAGGCTGCCTGGGTTTGGGTCCTGACTCCCCCCCACCCCCAATTCCCTCATCTCTAAAACTGGGCTAGCATGCTTCACAGGGCTGGATGCAGACGGGATGTAAACTGTTAGGGCCACGCCTGGCCGAGCCTCTGTCAGCAGCACCCGAGGCCCAGGCCTGTGGAGTCCTGACGTCGACGGTGCTGAGGGCAGGCTCCCATGAGGCCTCGGTGCTCACACTTCCCAGTCATGTGTCCTGGGCAAGATTCTTGCAGTCTAAGCTTCTGTTTCAGGGTGTACAAAATGAGGACATACATGCATGAGCCTCGGGAGGCAGGGGTCGTTCAGAGGATTCCGTGAAGTGAAGCCTGCCAGGCCCTGAGCTTGGGTCTGGTGTGTGGGGCTGAGGCTCAGGGAGCTTCTGTGACCTGCCCAAGGCTACAGAACAGGTTGGTGGCAGAGATGGGATTTGAACCCCGGAGCTGGGAATTCCAGCTTCACAGACCTCCTCTGGGGCCCTGCACGCGTTCCTGCAAAGCTCTGCATGCGACTGAGTTAAGAGGAATGTTGAACTGCAGCTCCAGGTGCACCTCGGTTACTGGGGATGGCTCTGCTCCCCACATGCACCTGCAGGGTGCACAACCCTCCCCCAAGCCCCTCTGGAGGCCAGGCACTGGTGCCAAAGGGCCCCTGGGTGGGGTGAGGGGAGCCCAGAGCAGAAGTCTGAGGGGCGATGGAACTTCTTGGGTGGGCAAAATGCCGTGTAGTTCCCCGTGCAAATATTGATGGGTGCCCCATGTGAGGTAGACACTATCCCTAGTCATCACAGCAGCCCCAGAAACAGGTTGTTAGCCCAGCTTAAAAAAAAAAAAAGAAGAAGAAGAAGAAGAAGCCCTGGCTGGTGTGGCTCAGTGGATTGAGCTCCAGCCTGTGAACCAGAGGGTCACCAGTTCAATTCCCAGTCAGGGCATATGTCTGGGTTGTGGGCCAGGTCCCCAGTAGGGGGCACACAAGAGGCAAGCACACACTGATGTTTCTCTTCCTCTCTCCCCCCCTTTTTCTAAAAACAGATAAATCTTTTAAAAAATAACATTTTTATTGATATGATTCACATATCATATAATTGGCCTATATAATGCGTATGACTTAATGGGTTTAAAAATATACTCACAGAGCTGGGCACCCCTCAGCACAACCAGTTTCAGAGTGTCCCCCCCACTTAGAAACCCACACCCACGAGCAGTCACTCCCACATCTCCCTGCCCCCGCCCTGGGCGGCTTCTAACCTTTCTGTCGCCATAGACTTCACTATTCTAGACACTTCGTGTACGTGAAATCTCGTCATATGGTTTTGTGACTGGTCTTTACGTGGCAGTGTTTGCACAATTTGTCTGCCTTGTAGCACGTTACCCATACTTCATTTCTTCTCACTGCTGCATGCTGTTGCGTCGTGTGGATACACCACACTTCGTCCATGCACCGGTTGGTGCATGTGTGTGTTATTTCTACTTTATGGCTGTTTTTAAAGATTTTATTTATTTATTTTTAGAGAGAGGGGAAGGGAGGGAGAAAGAGAGGGAGAAACACATCGATGTGTGAGAGAAACAGCCACTGGTTGCCTCTCACACTGCCCGAAACAGGGCCCTGGCCTGCAACCCAGACATTTGCCCTGGTGGGGAAGTGAACCTGTGACCTTTCAGTTTGCAGGGTTAATGCCCAGCCCACTGAGCCACACCAGTCAGGGCTGTATGGCTGTTACAAGTAATGTTGCTATGAACATTCATGTCAAACATTCTGTGTGGATACATTATCCCATTTTAAAGACAAGGAAACAGGCCCCCAGAGTGGAAAGCTCTTGCCTGGGCGCAAGAGCTGGCAAGAGCTGGACTCGGACTGGTGTCCCAATCTAGAGCCTGTGCTTCCCCGCCCAGGAGCTGTGCTAAGTGCGGTGACAGAGCTAGGTCAGGACAAAAAGGAGGGGTGAGTTCGTGGAGGAAGGGGTGGCAAGTTCCTGGGCCTTGCAGGAGCGGGGAAGAACATTGCAGGTGGAGAAGCAGCGGGTGCAAAGGCCTACAGGTGTGAGGCATCTGGGAGCCGTAAGGAGTTGTTGTCATTGGGGCAGAGGTCTGGGGGAGGGGAGAAGCAGAGAAAGGCCCCATAGGTGATAGGGTAGGAGACTCAGGCACAGGTGAGATTTAAAAGGCCTTTGTATCCTCCTCTCTTCAGGTAACTGAGCCATAAATATACATTTTTAATTAAGTATATATCCACGGGGGTAAGTTTATTTCAAAACGATTTCTGGCCAATGAGCTGTGTTTCGTGTGCCTCATGGAAAGACAGTGCCGCAGACAGCACCACGTTGCTGCAGCCCACAAACTGCAGTCATTTTCACGTCGCTTATTGTAACTCAGGAAAACAGGTCTTCCTAGATGGTCTCCGAGCTTCTCCTCTGTGTGTCTCTGTAGTAGGGATGGTGTTGACATCTGCGTTGCTGCCTCCATGAGAGTCAATCCACTTCACGTTGTCACGAGACCAGGATTTACCACTCTGCTGTCTAGGGTTCTGAGTCAGCGGGAGGGGGTGGTTTCCTGTTCAGCTGTGGATCTTTGACAGCTTCGGCAGGACGTGGCCCTGTTCAGGTCCTTGCAGCCTGTATGTTTTGGATTTTTAGAAGGTGCAGTGGATGTAGTAGCCAATTTCTTTTGCACACAGGAAGCTTTATAGAATTTTATTCCCAAATCCCTTATTTTGAGAAGCTGTTTTGTATATAAGAATACTATTGAAATAGAACATTATTTTCCTAGATACTAAATCTTTGTATATTGATCAAGGTGATTCTGAAAGTTAAAACTTTAAGTGTTAGAATGTGATGTTATTGTTAATGGTTCTATATTATGTATTCAATAGGAAATCATGGTTTATCAATAAAAGTTAAAATGCCCATCTTGAAAAAAGAGGCCTTAAATGTCATGCTAAGCACATGAACTTGACCCTGAAGGCAGGGTAGCCACCCAGATGGACACCAATGTAATTTGAAGTCAGACAGATCTAAGGCAAACCCCAGTTCCGCTTCCATGAAACCTTCACTTTAGCTTGTCATGTGGAAAATGCAGATGACAAGAACAATACCTTGTTTAAAGCGCTGCGGGGACCGAGTTCCTGTCTCCGGGGAGCTCGTCCCAGGGCCTGGCAGAGTGCCAGCTCAGCGAATGGTAGTGTGTTACCATCCTCACAGGGTGTTGAGCAGGGGCTGCCAAGGTCAGATCCGTGTTGTGGAAGGAAGGGTGTCTGGCTGCAGAGGGACTGGTCCAGGAGGCTGTTGTCCGGGGGAGGGACCAAGACAGCGGTGGGGCTGGAGAGCCACCGGCAGGCTTGGGAGAAAGTCAGGAGATAACTTCTGCAGACTCTGAGACTTTGAGAATTGCTTGTGAATAATATCTAAATTCTGATTTTCTGTGCGTCCCGGGCCTGGTGCCAAACCACTCAGGGGCTGGGCTTGATGGCCCCTCTCGGTTCCTCCCTGCAGCTCGCCCACGGACGCCATGTGGTGGGCTCCGATGCCCCTGTCTACACCGCCACCTCTGCTGCCTCCGCTGCTGCTGCCGCCACTGCTGTCGCTGCTGCTGCTGGTGCTCGGGTGCGGGCCGAGGGCGGCCACCGGTGGCGGGACCGGCGGGGCAGCGGGCTACGCACCGGTGAAGTACGTGCAGCCCATGCACAAGGGACCCGTGGGGCCGCCCTTCCGTGAGGGCAAGGGCCAGTACCTGGGTGAGCACCACCTCGTCCCCCTCCAGGTCACAGCCCCTCAATCCCCACCTAAGATCCCATCTCCACTTTCTTCCTGATGCTAGTCCGGGGCCTCCCACCCTCGGAGGGCCCCAGTCAGCTGGCTGGCCGCTGAGGTCTTTAGTGTGGTGGAGGAGGGGCAGGCAGGTGTGCGGGCTGGGGGAATGGAGGGGCAGTGGTCTACTCCGACTGGCTCTGGAGGGAGGCTGGCGCCATCTGGCGGCCATTCTACCACACGTCAAGCAGGGATTAGAGGTTCCCCAAGCTCTGGGGGATGGCCCATTCTGGGTAGCCTGGAACCCTGGGTGAGGACACCCTGAGGCCCCCAGGATTGCCAATGGACCCCCTCTAAACCCCATCTTTGATGAGAGCAGGGAGGGGGAAAGCAGGGCGTGGTCTTCACAAACAGATACAAGGCCTTGTTTTCTCGCAATGCACCCTGTGCTGATGTGCGGGAGTGGGTGGATGGGTTCTCTCTCCTCACTGACCAGGCCCCTGACTGCCCCTTCTCTCTTTCTCTCAGAAATGCCTCTACCGCTGCTGCCAATGGATCTCAAAGGAGAGCCCGGACCCCCTGGGAAACCTGGGCCTCGGGGGCCCCCTGGCCCTCCTGGCTTCCCAGGAAAACCAGGCACTGGAAAGCCAGGATTGCATGGGCAGCCTGGCCCCGCCGGCCCCCCTGGCTTCTCCCGGATGGGCAAGGCTGGTCCCCCAGGGCTCCCAGGCAAGGCTGGACCACCTGGGCAACCAGGGCTTCGTGGGGAGCCAGGGATACGAGGGGACCAGGGCCTCCGGGGCCCCCCCGGGCCCCCTGGACTCCCTGGGCCCTCAGGCATTGCTGTCCCTGGGAAACCGGGCCCCCCAGGGGTGCCAGGGCCACCAGGGTTTGGGGGGGAGCCAGGTCCTCAGGGGGAACCTGGGCCCCCAGGTGATCGAGGCCTCAAGGGGGATAATGGGGTGGGTCAGCCAGGGCTGCCTGGGGCCCCAGGGCAAGGGGGTGCCCCTGGACCCCCTGGCCTGCCTGGCCCAGCTGGCTTGGGCAAACCAGGTTTGGATGGGCTTCCTGGGGCCCCTGGAGATAAGGGTGAGTCTGGCCCTCCCGGGGTGTCAGGACCCAGGGGGGAGCCAGGGGCAATGGGCCCAAAGGGGCCTCCTGGGATGGATGGTGTGGGGATCCCAGGGTCAGCAGGAGTGCCAGGGCCTCAGGGCCCAGCAGGGGCCAAAGGAGAACCAGGGACCAGGGGTCCTCCTGGCCTCATAGGCCCCACTGGCTATGGGATGCCAGGACCGCCAGGCCCCAAGGGGGACAAGGGCCAAGCTGGGGTCCCAGGGCTCTTGGGGGACAGGGGTGAGCCAGGTGAGGATGGGGAGCCAGGGGAGCAGGGCCCACAGGGCCTTGGGGGCCCTCCTGGACTTCCAGGCTCTGCAGGGCTCCCCGGAAGACGTGGGCCCCCTGGCCCTAAGGGGGAGGTAGGGCCTGGAGGACCCCCAGGAATGCCTGGCATTCGGGGTGATCAGGGACCTAGTGGCCTGGCTGGGAAACCTGGACTCCCAGGAGAGAGGGGGCTTCCGGGGGCCCACGGACCCCCTGGACCAACTGGGCCCAAGGGCGAGCAGGGTTTCACTGGGCGCCCCGGGGGGCCAGGGGTGGCAGGAGCCGTAGGACAGAAGGGTGACTTGGGGCTCCCTGGACAGCCCGGCCTGCGGGGTCCCTCAGGAATCCCAGGACTCCAGGGCCCAGCCGGCCCTGTCGGGCCACAGGGCCTGCCAGGCCTGAAGGGCGAACCAGGCCTCCCAGGGCCCCCTGGAGAGGGGAAAGTAGGGGAACCTGGCGTAGCTGGGCCTACAGGGCCCCCTGGAGTTCCTGGTTCCCCAGGACTCACAGGACCTCCTGGGCCTCCGGGGCCTCCTGGCCCCCCTGGCGCCCCTGGGGCCTTCGATGAGACTGGCATCGCCGGCCTGCACCTGCCCGACGGGGGAGTGGAAGGCGCTGTGCTGGGCAAGGGCGGCAAGCTGCAGTTCGGGCTGGGCGAGCTGTCGGCCCACGCCACTCCCGCCTTCACCGCTGTGCTCACCTCGCCCTTTCCTGCCTCCGGCATGCCTGTTAAGTTCGACCGGACTCTCTACAATGGCCACAGTGGCTACAACCCTGCCACGGGCATCTTCACCTGCCCTGTGGGCGGGGTCTACTACTTTGCTTACCACGTGCACGTCAAGGGCACCAATGTGTGGGTGGCCCTGTACAAGAACAACGTGCCAGCCACCTACACCTATGATGAGTACAAGAAAGGCTACCTGGACCAGGCGTCTGGCGGGGCTGTGCTCCAGCTGCGGCCCAATGACCAGGTCTGGGTGCAGATGCCCTCGGACCAGGCCAACGGCCTCTACTCCACCGAGTACATCCACTCCTCCTTTTCAGGGTTTTTGCTCTGCCCCACATAACCCGTGGGGCGCTGCTGCCCCGGCATCCTCCTCTTTAGTGGTAGAGAGAACTTCTCAGTTACAAAGAATCTGCATTTAAAGAAAAAACCAAAGGCTGGACAGAGGTGGGAACAGAGGGGGCTCTGGCCTGAAGAGACTGACTTGGCTTCTCCCTCCGTGCAGGCTGAGGCTGTTTCTGGAAGAAGCTGGCCTGAGTCCCTCCTCGCCCCTGAGTGTCTGTGCACTGTTGGGGTTGTGACTCCCTTGCTGCCCTGCCTGGCCTGCAGGCAGGGCCCCAGCACACTCGGTCCAGCTGTCGGGGGTCCCCGAGTCCCAAGTCCCGGGCTCTGCTGGGTGGTGAAAGACGCTGCTTCTCTGTGAGTCAGAGCTGAAAGAGGACTGAGCTTCCCCTTCCACCCCCTTGGGCGGTAGGGGGCACATATCGGCAAACCCCGCCCTTCCTGCTGGCCCCAGATGGCACCCGCTTAGGGAATGGGTCTTAGCCTCCCTCAGTTTGTGGCTGGGGCTCTTCTAGCTCCCCTGGGACTTCCAGCATATGGTGGTGGGTCCCTTGAAGAGTTTCCCTCCAGGGAAAGGGAGAGGAGGGGGCCAGTGTGGACACCCTGCCACGACAGCCATCCCAGGCATGGTGCTGTGGCGCCAGGCATGTAGAGGTGCGTGGCCCCTTCTGCAAAATCCTGGGAGGACCGTCCCCCTTCCATGGCCCCAGTGCAGCCATGGGGGGCGGGGTTTGTGTGGGGCTGGGGCTGGCCCAGGATGGCAGGCCTTCACCGGCATCTCATTTCCTAGGCTGCCCCCACCAGCTCTGGCTTTGCTCATGGAAAGGGTGGCTGCCCGGGCCCCTGGGGAGGGGCACAGGCAGGGTCCACTGTCGGTAAGTGGGGGTGAGTGGGAGTATTCCTCCCTTCATCTCCTTTTGCCCCCTGGGAGGGCTGATTTTCTCACACAAAATTGTAAGGGATCCTTGCCACCCCCAACCCAAGTGACCCAGAGTAGGCCTTTCATTTGGCCCTCAGAACAAGGTGCACACGAGCTTGGGGGCAAAGGCTCCGCCTGCTCTTCCTTAATAAGAACCACATGTATGTGTCTACTGAAGGGGTTAACTGGAGGGGCTTCCTCTCCTCCCGCCTCTGGTTCCAATTTCCTGCTCTAAGCAGGATTAGGGCCCGGGAGGCCGAGGCTGTGGGGGAAAGGGTGCCAGCAGGCCCCTCTGGAATGAACTGGCTCTGGGTGTTTCAGCCGTTCCCCCAGTCAGAGCTCCTCTGCAAGAGACAGGCAGGACCCTCTCCCCTCTCCTCAGCCCCCAGTCCAAGTTGAGTGGGTAAAGCTGAGGTCAGTGTTGGAGACGGGGTGGTGGGCACGCACGTAAGGATGGCCCCTCTCCCAGTGGCGGGGACCTCCCCAGGCCAGCCCACCTCCGCAGACCAAGCGTGAGCCTGGGTCAGCCAGCGCGACATGCCACACTGCCGTCTGTGTCGAACACTGGGGGTGACGGCTGGCTCGACCCGCTGAGCTGCAGCTCCCACGGGCCCCTTGCCGGTCCTCCTCCCCCAACCTCTCCCAGCAGAGCAGGCCATTCGACTACTCAGGCTACTGTTCAAAAGGAGAAATGACAATCCGAATCTGCCCAAGTGACACTATAAGAACAGGTCTTGGTTGGGGTTCACGGGGGATCCCTTACTCCCGAACGCCGGAGAGAGCTATCTCAAACCGTACCTGGTGGGCCCTTTGCTCAGCCTCCTCCCTGGGTCAGAGCCACGGCCTTCTGACCTGTCAGGGAGGGGTGCTGATGGGCCAACGTTCATCCGGCCCCGGTGGGAACCCAGGGGACTAAGGAGGGTTTAGGGGAGCCAAAAAAGCTATTTCACAAAACTGAGTTTCTGCTAAAAGTCACTCCTGACGCCTTTGAGAGGAGTGGCTGGTGCTTCTCAAAATGTTATGTTCCAGGTGTTGTCTACTTAATTGGCCAGCTTTGTTAAATGATGTCAGGTTTGAACAATGAAAACTACATTACCTTGTGTTTTTATGTTGATTCATTTTTTTCCTCAAGATTAAGGTTTAAACGTTTTTCATTGCAATTGCATTTCTTACCTGGTATAAGAAGCTTCTCTACATACCTAGCATGTGCCCTGTGTCACAGGACATTTGGGAAAAATGTGGTTGGGGGAATTAAAGAAACTGGGATTTCTCTTTGAAAAGAAAAACCATGGTGTTGACTGCACCAACACAGCCTCAGTAAATCTGTCATATAAAACAGCAGACAGCCCAGACGGGCGCTGATGCGGCACAGTCTCAAGACCCTGGATTTTATGTGGCATCCAGGGTGCCTGCTGGGGCTCCCCAACCCCCGGGAGCTGCCCAGGCGTGGGTCCTGTCACCACATCAGGAACGTGCAGTGCTCTTCAGCTGCCGAGGCTCTGCACCGAGTGTGTGCCCTGAAGCGCTCGAAGAAACCAAAGGATCAAGCTTCCCTGGAACATTCCTGCAAGCTCTCATGGGTAGTGGAGCATGACAACTAGCTCAGGACCCCAAGGGCCAAGTTTCAACATCTGATACAAATTATGAATGAAATCAGGAGTCTTTGCTCTTGTGGATGGGGCGAGTGCCAGGCCCAGTGCTTACAGCTGGGCTGCTGGAGCTGTCCTGGGCAGAAAGCACCTGCCCCACATCTTGCCACGCTCGGCAGCTATCTGTCCCTAGCTCTGGAAATCGGGGTGACATGTCCGAGACCAACCCCATGCCCTGTCAAGTCCTGTGGTTTGCCCCAGGCTGGCAGAACCCTGTCTCAGTGGAAAGCAGACCTGCTTAGCAGTCCTGAGACCTCAGGCTAGCTGCAGAAGGCACGCTTCTCTCCCCTAGGGCTGGACGGATGCTCAGAGACTGTCCCTATTTGATGGAGGTGTTTCCCCCCTTTCAGTTTTCCTATCTTTGAAATGGACGGTGTACAGAATTTCCTAACAGACTGAGGCCTTTGACTAGGGCCCAAGATGCAGAACGAGGCAGCTTTCAGTCCTCCCAGGGCACCCAGGATGATGTGCTTCCCCAACCGAAGGCTGGTAGTCTGGGGACAGAAGGCACCCTCTGCCTCCTCCCCCAGGGCTCCCATTTCTGGTCTGCCAGGGCCTGGGCCCTACCTGCAGAGCAACACATGAAGTCAGGTTCTGAGAGCAAGAAAACCTGTCTTGGTCCCCGCCCCCTGCCTGGGTCGCTTTGCGTGATCAGATCATGCCTTGACAGGAAAAGGTATCAGATCATGCCTACTCGGCCCTTCCTCGCAGAATGACGCAGCCGCCTGCCAGAACCGGAGGGAGCTGCCTCAGAAACCCAGCAGCTCTCACCCTGGAATCCTAGCTCCTAGGAGAGTGCAGTCCAGACAGAGAGGAGCTAAGCGCAGAGGGTCAAGGGCGGGGAGAATCCACTCGGGGCAGAGGAGAAACAGAGGGAGCTGTACTGGGATTTACCAAAAACGGTTTATTGCTGTGACTCCTGCTGGAAGCTGTTAAGCCCCGCGACAGCCAAGGGCCAGACGTGTATGGAGATTGGCTAGGTTCAAGTGTCCGTCTCTTCCGTCCAGAGAAACCTGCCACTGGGGCCCTGCCCAGTCAAAGACAGGCTTTCGGGCAAACTGGCTAAATCCCACCGAGAAGTGATACTGCTGCAGACCATTTCCACCTCCCCAGTTCCATGTCCTAGATAATAAAGGAAAACGCCACAGGTAGCCTCCAATAAAACCTGCCCTGGTTCCTCCTGTCCAACTGAGGAGCCAGGGGTGCCCGAGGCTCTGCAGCAAGCCAGAAACCCAGCACCAGGGCGGCACCAGTCCCTCACCCACTGTTCCAACGACCTCCCCCAAAGAGACCCCAGCCCTGGGAGTGTAGTCCGCCCACGTGGCCGGAAGGCTGAGGCAGGGAGCAAAGTCCGATGAGGCTCAGGGTTTCCCACCTGAGCTGAGGTTGGTCCCGCTGGACGTGGCGGAGCCCCAGCAACTGCGGCCCTCACGGACTCTTCTGGAAGACTCGGTGCAGGCTCTGGGCCAGGATGTCTGTCTCTTCATAGCCCTCACAGCTTTGCTGCCAGCTCTCTGGCACCTGTTCTATCCCATAGTAGGCGCCAGCAATGGCCCCAGCCATGGTGGCAATGGTGTCTGTGTCCCCACCAAGTGAGATGGAATAGATGAGAGTCCTTTGGAGGCTATTGAAAGTAGAGGGGATCTCGGGGTCGGGCTCCATGCAGCGCAGGAAGCAGTAGATGGCAGTGGGCACAGATTCAAAGGCAGCAATGCCATTGCCTGTGGGGACACCAGATTACAGGAACTTGACTCCACTCCCCCACAGGTCCCTAGGCTTCCTGCCACTTGACACAAGCCAACAATCTCAGCTTCAGGTTGAGCTGTGACTGAGATCACAGGCTCTACAGCAGAGGTGTCGAACTCGTTTCCACTGGGGGCCACATCAGCCTCACAGTTGCCTTCAGAGGGCCGAATGTATTTTAGGACTGCAGAAATGTAACTATTCCTTAACAGTTAAGGAGTTGAAATTATCTTCAGCCCTTTAAAGGCAACCACAAGGCTGATGTGGCCCCCGGTGGAAATGAGTTTGACGCCCCTGCTCTATCGCTAGACCACCTGGGTTGAGACCCTGGCTCCCCCACCTACTGGCTGGGTGCTGGGAAAATTCCCTAATGACTAAGATTCCTGTATCTTGGGTTTGACTCCTTGTGTAGAGTGGATTGGATTAGGAACTCTCACAGGGCCGGTTTATATCAAACAGATACAAAGCATTCTGCATAGTGCCCAGAGTACAGTAAAAGTGCTATATAAACACGGGTTATCACCATCAGCTGTGAGAACTGGTGGCCAGAAATGCCTGGGGATATTCATTGTGAGGCCGATGAAGGTGCCGTAGCCCCAGAGCAAGAAGGGGCTACGCTCACTCAAAACCTGCCACGGACCCTACAGAGCTGGCTCTGTGTCACACCAGCCCCAGGTAAAAACGATGGCAGGTATGACTCCTGGCTCCCCTCGTACCCCTGAGGCCAAGCCTGACCCTGAAGGATGACAGGTGTAGGGGGACTGCCCACCTAGCTCAGACACCACTTCCTCTCTGGTCACCGAGTCCTGTTCCAGAAGCTCTCCGATCTTCTTCAGGCGGCTGGAGTACGGACGCTCCTCCATGCCCAACCTGTGAGGTGGGGACAAGATTGCAGGGAGGCTGAAGGCAGGCCAGGGAGGGCTGTGTGCGAGGGCTGTGTGGGAGGGCGAGGTGGGGACGTGGCCAGGCTGACACCCAGGCCCAGATGTCCTAACAAAAGTGGATGAGGGCTGGGGGTGAGCTGCTCGTTTTGTCGTCTGGGACCCCGAACCTTGCTTGAAGCACAGCCAAGGTGAAGGACTCCTCGCACCCCTCCCTAGAGTCTGCAGTTAAAGGAAGGTCTCAGCTGTGACAACACCAGAGGAGTCCACCCCACACGCATACGCATTCACAAACACACCTCCAGCCATCTCCATCCCATATACTCACTCCTTGGCATCTGAGACAGACTGGGCATCACTCTCCAGCTCTTCCATGTGGCCCAGGAGTTGCTGGAGGAAGTGCTCAGTGGACAACTCCCCCTGCAAGGCCAGGTGCACGGCCAGGGCCTGCAGGATGGCACCGTTGTAACCGAGGGAGGAGGCGTGTGTCAGCTGGGCCGAGAGCCGGGCAAACTAGGGCAAAGGCAGTGGAGACTAAGACCTGCTGTCACAGAACTCAGAGGAGGGGGGGGCAGGGAGGGGACAGCCCAGAAGCCAGCCTGCCCAGACTACCTTCTGCACATCCTGGATGCTGCTATAGGCCAGGGAGATGCCAGCCACCCGCATGGCACCCCCGTTGCCATAGGAGCCTTTCCCGTTAAACTGGGCCCGAGCAGGCTCATAGACGTCTCGGCACTTGGGGCTCAGGAGCTTCTTGAAGACGGTGATTACTCCGGCACCATAACCCCTGTCGGGTTCTTTTCTATACTCCTGAGCAAATCTAGGGGATGGAAGGGAGAGAGGATAAGGGTTTCAAAGATGCCTGTCAGTGCAGGGAGAGAAGAAACCTGGCTGCTCTGGGAAACCAGGAAGCCCCGGGGCCCAGGGGGCCTGTTCCAGTGGTGCTGTCCTTTCTAGCCTGGGAAGCTGCAGTGGCTCTGGAAGCCGCTTCCTGCTGAGGTGGGGTTCCAGCATATACGACACCACTGCTCGGGCCAAGGGGTGCAATAACTCTGCCCACCTGGTTTGCCTCATCCCAGGACCATCCCCCTCACCTGTGAGCCATGTCCACTTCGTCGAAAGCCTCCTTGGACAGCAGGGACTGCACCAGGGCCCTGGACATGGCTGTGTCATCTGTGTAGTACAAAGTCTCTGCAGGGACAGGGTTGAGAGGTGGTTGGGGGAGAGGAGTTGCAGGGCTCAAGGGTGGCAGCTTGGGCCTCCTGCTCATTCCTTTTACACTCCACTTCTAGGATGCCGTAAGTCAGCTACTCACTCCCACCCAATTTCCTGGGCTCCAGGCCTCGGGGTTTTCAGTAATTCTTTGTTCTAAGTCAGTGACCATATCCTGCTGATTTCTGAAGGAAAACCTTCCACCCCCTCTGGCTGCCATTGAGGCAGCTCCAGCCTTAATACGACCTGCTGTGGGCCTCTCAAACCTTCTGTGCCTTCCCTACCCTCCTACCAGCCCGTATGTGCAGCCAGAAAAACCTTCCTGGGAGTAACATGTCCTCTTCCTTATCTCACTCTCCTGCTCCAGACGGCTACCTGTTGCCTTCAGGACGAGGCCCGCATTCACTGCCTCGGCATTCAAAGCTCTCCCCTCTTCACTCATTCCGACCCCACTCCCACATCCCCGGGACCAGTCTTGGAGCCTGGGTCAAGTCCTTCCAGCTGGGGCTGCTCCCATCCCTCCTCCTGTCCCCAATCCTTCCTCTGGGTGCCCAGGAGGACCTCTCTGGCACTTCCAACACAACACCACTGCTTATGTGGTGACAAAAACAGGCCATAAAAGGGCTAGGGACGGGGACTGGATTCTATTTCAAGAGCTGATTACAAAAAACAAAGTACACTCTAGCAAGCCCCATTTCCCGTCCTCACATCTGCTATGCCCCCCTCTCTCTGTGTATGCCAAGCCCCAACCCCACTTTCCCCTCCCCTTTTACTGTCAGGAGGCCCCACCACCTCCTTCACCAGGACCAGAGGCCAACAGCCCTCTTATCTACAGCTGTACTCTCCAGTCTCCCCTAGAGGGAGGACATCCCTCCTCCGATCCACCCCCCAGCCCAGTTCTTGGGGGGCTGGTCCTTCCTTTGCCCCCTCTCCTGTTTCCTCAGTATCCATCTCCCTATGTGGTGGAGCAGCACCCACTCTTTCATTCAGGCCCTGCACCCTGCTTTTCCCCAGGGAACCACTTCTCTCCCATTCTCAGTCTACATGATTAGTGCATGGAGCTAAAGCCACCTCTAGCCTGATCAGAGAGCACACCCATTCCCTTGTTCGGGGAGGGACAGGTGACCTAAACCTAAGGCTCCTGGGGACTTTTTATGGGGACTACTGCACAGAGAAATTCTTCCTCTGAGGGAGCTACTGAGCTGGGAGCTGCTGGGGGCTACCATGAAGGGTCTGCCAAAGGGAGTGAAGCCCACTAAGAAGAACGCAGATCTGAACAAGGAGAGGAACTAAGTCTGCGGAGGGGGCTCGAGGCCCTGGATTCAGCCTCGCTTGAAGCCAGCCCCACCTCTAGACTTTTCAGTTCCGTCAATGTGTTCTTTCTGCTTAGGCCATTTTGAGTTTGTTTTTTTGCCACTTGCACCCAAAGGGTCCTAAAACACCTCTTAACCTAAAACTTGTTTTACCCTCATCTTAACATCAAACCAAAATGAAATTAAAAACTGTCCCTGCGTCTTGTCTTCATCTCAATCCCAGCTCATGCCTTCTCTCCTTCCCTTCATGCTAAACCACACTCTGTTTTTCCATTTCCTCCTAAACCCACTGAAATCTGACTTCCAGACTTCAATCTTCTAGTGAAAATGCTTTTCTAAACCCAAAATACCCTCTTCTTAACCTCTCTGTATCACACCAGGGACCAGCGTTTTCACCTTGAAATGTGCTCGGGTTTTGTTGACAGACACGCCGCCTGCTTCCTCTCCTGTCAAACTGTTTTCTTCTCTAGCTCCTTTCCCTCCTCCAGGGTTCAGCCCCTATTCCTTGCTATCCTACATGCTCTGCAAGAATCATCCACTGCTTGGCCTCGGTCGGGATACTTAGCTGTGATCCCGGTGAGGAGTAGATTGCGCAACGGGAGGGAGAAGCGGGGGGTGGGGCTTTATAGGCAAGGGACAACACAGGCACAGGACAGGCCTGGGCTAGAGGACGCATGATGTGAGAGGAGCTGAGCCACAGACAGCGAGTACGGGTCAATGTAAAATGAAACCGGCCACGGAGGAAGGGCCGGCCTGGTATGACACGCAAAGGAATTTGGCTCTGTCTTAAGGATAATGGAAAATCACTGCATACTTTCATGTGGGGGAGGCCGCCATAAGATCTGTTTTGAGCCCTGCACTCCCTGCTGTGTGGAGAATGGACTCGAGGCGCATCGATTCCAGACGCCTGGGTTAAGTGTGGTAAAATCGGTAGGATGTTATATAGTGAACTAGGCGCAATTTAGGAGAAAGACGCCCAGGTTTCTGGCTTGTACAACAGGAAGGATGGTGTTGCCACGCCCGGAGTTGGGAAAGGTTCTTGGGAAGATGGTGCTCGGATTCGCCACGCTGAGCTCAAGGGTGCCCTGCAGGCCGGCCAGCCCCCAGATCTAGCCCTAGCTGCCCTAGGAGTCTGATTTCCTAACAGGTGCCTTTCCCCGCCGCGCTCACACCCCAAGTCCTCCGAGGTAGCAGCCTCCGCCCTCACGCCCACTAGCCTGCTCTGTCCCGCCCACCTGTCCGCGCGCTCCCAGGCGAGCCTGGGTCCGGCTCCAGGCTCTGGACGTGATGCAGGACTGACGTCAGGTTGACGGTGTCGTGCGCCTCGTAGAAGGAGCCTACGCAGTCCCCGAGCAGCGCGCCGGCCAAGCAGCCTCGGAAACGAGAAAGGGAGCGGGCTGCCCCAGCCCCTCCGCAGCCCGCTGCCGTCATCGCTGCCGCCGCCACCACCGCCGCCATCCGCGAAGACCCGACACCACTTCCGGTGCGGCTAGCTCGTGCCCCAAGGAGCGCTTCACCTCATCCCCTCGTGCCCCAGGCCCACAGCGCCACCCAGCGGCCTGGAGGCGCAGGTCTGCGTGCTTGAGACCAGAACCAGTCCTGCAATGCTGGTTGAATTCCATCAGGCCTTTGCTTTTGCCCCTCATTTTTCTCCATCTGTAACCGGTGTCACACCTGGCAGGAGGGCCACTAAAGGGTCCCAGAAGGGACTATCGGTATCGGGCCGCAGCAGCCTTGACCCTTCAGGCCACTGCCCTCTGGGTCCTGCCTTTCTGAAGCCTCACTCTGCCTTACTACCCCAGCCCTCCCACAGCAGCCCCTCTCTTTGGCCCCCACGCAGGTCTGGGCCCACATCCCCAAATCCCACTGTGATTCTAGCCTTCTCTGGGCCTTCCCTAGGCCTTAAAAGGTCTGGCAAGGGTTCAGCTAGGGCAGAGCTGATTAGAAGTTATCCTGCTAGAGCCCAGGGAGTGCAGGCCTAGGCCACAGAAGGGCTCCCTAAAGAGGAACAAGGGATTGGATTTGGAACTTGGGGCTTGGTGGATGATGGTCACCACTTTTGCTCCTCCATTCACAGGATGTCCGTTTACTCTCTGCTGGCTACATGCAAGGGTAGCAGAAAACCTTCTAGACTGAGAAACCCAACATTTATTAGATTCATTTTCTCCAAATTCCTTTCTCTTCCATTCCCTCCCACCTAACCTTCCTCTCCCACCTCAGCCCCCAAGCCTAGGCCAGCTCCAGCTGGCAGCTTTTGAGTGGACTCATGGTACGGTTTGTGGTGCGGGTGAAGGTGTCCACCTCAGGCGTAAACTTCTCAGCAGGCACAGTCAGCTTCCGACGAATGTCCATGCACTTGGTGTCCAACAGCATGGAGTTGGCCTTGCAGGCGATGTCAGCCTGCAGCCGGGCCAGGTGCTTGTACAGGGCATCCAGAGCGTCCCTGGGGGAGGAGGCATTAACAACTCACCAGCCCTGCATGAGGCTGCAAGGTGAAGGAAGGCAGCAGGAAAGCCAGCAGGCAGCAAATGTCTCCCTGCCCTTCCTGCCCACTCCCACAAACCTACTGTGCTTGTGCCAGCTTCTGCTTTAGGGCAGCGATGGTTGCCTCTAACTGGTGAACCTCATCAGTGAGGCCATACTGTGCCTGGAGGCAGAGATGAGGGTTGGGAGTCCCAGGTCAGCCATACTACCCTTCAGCCCAAGGGCATGGGTGCTGCTTTCTGCCAGCACCCCTGCTCCACCAGAGTTACGTGGTAGGGGGTAGTGATCCTGAGAAAACTTCAGCAGGTGGGCAGTGCCCAACTGGGGTGCCCTCACACCTGGTCCCGGCAGAGTTCCACATTGGGCCGGTAGGTTCTGGACTCCAGCCGGGTATGGCACAGCTTCAGGTTCAGTAACTTCCTGCGCAGGTCCTCCTCCAGGTGCTGGATGTCCTTCTGTAGCTCAGCAATCTCCTCCAAGGTCTGCAGGGAACAGAGTGACCGCTGTCCACTGGTCGAACCCACCATGGTGCACCCAGGGCTTCCCGGATGGGCACTGGGCTCTTCATCCCACAGTGGGAGGTCCAAGCCCCGGGGGACCCAACAGAGAGGGCTCACATTCTTCTCTTGCCACTTGAGCTCACTGTACGCTTTCTCCATCTCCCGCAGCCGCTTCCTGAATGCGAATTCTGTTGTAACCCTCTGGGCTTCAAGTTCATTGTTGGTCTGAAGGACAGGAAGTGGGCCAGGCAAGAGAGAGTATAAGCTCATGACCATCTGAGGATGCTGCTCAAGTGAAGGGTTGGGAGGCCACATGGCAACAGGGAACAAAAGGGAAAGGCATGAGTGCACACTCGGGCCACCCGTTAGCCACAGAGGAGCAGGGTCAGGGGAGTGGTCAGCTACCTCAGCAATAGTGAGGGCGATGGCCTCCCTCAGCTCCGTGGCTTCTTTCATCTCAGCCTCTGCCCGGGTCTTGTTGAACCGACTGAACTCATCCCACTGTTGAAGCGTGGAGGAGCTGCAGGTGGCAGGAAATACCGAAGGTCATAAGCCTAGGGCCACTGTGGGGTTGGGGGCGGGAGAGACTGATTAAAACACTTCTTACCCATCGGGAACACGGGTGGGATTAATCTTCAGAGAGATGTTTGGGGACTTGAGGTTGAGAGAGAGGCAACCTCTGTCTATGTCCAATGTCTCCACTTTGCCCCGGTGGTCGGAGTTGAGCTGCTGTCGGACTTCCTGCAGGAGGCTGGAGAAGGAGCAGACTAGCTCGAGATCCTTCGAAGCCCCAGGACTCAGCCCCCCTCCCCCCGTTGTATTGCAGTGCCCCCGAGGGATGGGGAGGCTGAAGTGAGAATGGAGCTGTTGCTGCAGCTGGGACGAAGATCACAAAGCTGGATGAGCTCCTCACAGATGAAATTATGACACCCACGTGCTTGCACACAACCACAGGGGCACACGTATCAGTTACACTCACAAAGGCTCACACATACACACTCACAATAGGGTATTCAGTCAGAGGTGGTGGCAAATGGGCTTCATCTCTCATGTTTCCCATCAATTCACAATGGCTCCCTAAGCAGGGTGGGGAGAAGTATTCTGAGAGCATATCTAGGCCGTGGAAAAAGTGTTACAATCAGTTAGTGGCTTCTGCTGTGGACACAGCAGGGACAGAAGGCAGCCTGAGAGCCAGCAGCTCATCACCCACAGTACACATATTACACATTTAAGACACTCAGCCATCAGGTGCAGGTGCACATGAGAATGACCCATCTCTTCCTTACCAGAGCTTCTCAAAACTCTGGCTAATCTTCTGTTGCAAGGCCTTCTTGGTGGCATCAATGACCTCCACCTCCTTGTGCAGCTCTTCCTCCACAGGGTCCTTCACCACGTCAATGTCACGCCGACTATCCCGCAGGGTCAGGCACTCGATCGCCACATCCAGAGGCAGGTTCTTGGCCTGCAGGTTTTGCTCCGCTGATTCTTTCATCTGGAAACATGAAGGCACAGGAGGAGCTTGGTGGGCCATTCACTGGGGGGAGCTCTCATTCCCACGTTAACAGGGGCCAGCGAGTGGCTCAGATGGACATGACACTAAACACCCCATCATGGGTTCCCAGACCTCGAAGTGGGGAAGGAGGGGGGCCTTGCCGCAGGGTTTCCTGCTGGCACCCCCTGCTCCAGCTCCCTGCCTGTGTCAGCGCGTCGATCTCTGCATCTAAATCCGTCAGACACTTGTCCAGCATCTCCTTCCATCGGTTGACTGTGTCAACCCTCTCTGCCAGTCGGGTCCTATTGTCGTGTTCATCCCAAATGGTCTGGAAGAGACAGAGCCAGATAAAGAGGGTGTTCGGGTTTAGGGACTATCCCTTTGCCCACTGGAGCCCCCCGCTCCCAACCTGATTGTTGGTGTCATTACGGAGGACCCGGGCCTCCTGGCGGATCTGGTGTGACGCATCTCGCTTCAGCTCAGCGTTGGTGGACAACAGTTGTGCATTGGCGTGCCAGTCCGGCAGCCGGAAACGTTGGCTGGGCTTGAGGCTCAGCGTGGCCATGGTGCTGCGCCCCTAGGCCTGTTCCAAGACACCACCTCTGCTGCAGAGGGAAGACAAGGCTGCGGGGGACTGTTCAGGAGATCCTTTTCTAGGTCAAAAGCCGCGTCCAAAGGACCCGCTGCTGTCCACTCTGCTCCAAGCCCCTTGCTGCAGGAAGCCTGTTTGGGAACAGCCCTCGATTTGCTCAATTTTGTATGAGGCATTCACTAAGTTTCCTCCCACCCACCCATCCACAAACACTAACTCCTGGACCCTGCAGGTCCTGGAGCAGAGTGTGTGCGTGGAGCCAAGAGCTTAGTGGGGCTGGTGGTGGGTGGGGCTTAACAGGAAAAATAGCCCTTAATCCAGTTTCCACCCCTGCTTTCATCAACCAAGTCTTGTGGAGCTTTCTCTTCATTCTCCATCCCGGCTTCGGTCAGGACCTGCGGGGGTTCTAAGAGAAGAGCCCTTCTCTCCATCTGGAGAGGACAGGCTAGTTTTGCCCGGGATATGGATAGGCAAAGGGGGTTTTTTCCGGGGGTTGGGGCGTGTGTTGGCCCCCCTCCCCATCTGCTCGTCCTACTCCCTCCCCGACCGACTCCCCGCCCCTGTTGGAGGAGGAGCACTGGGGTCCGTTTAGTTCCCAAGCGAACCCCACCCCTCCATCCGCAGGGTAATTGTCTTTGGTTTAAATTACTTGCTCCCCTGGCCTCTCACCTCCTTCCCAGCTCGGCCTTCCGCCTCCTCTGGCCAGCTCCTCTGTTAAGCGCCCTGGTTGCTAGGCACCCGCGGGTCCCTGTGCTAGTCACCACCTCCTGCCCGCGTGTTTACCTTGGCAACGGAGGGGCTGGGGTGGCGCGGCCTAGAGGCGGCTGCGGCCTAGAGGTGGCTGCATGATGGGGCCTGAGGCGGCTACAGCCAGGAGGATGTGGCATTCACTTCATTTACAAGTTAAACATTTTAATGTTGATCAATGTTATGCATCGACATGATAAAACTTACGTACATAGAAAAAGTAATCTCCCGCTCATGCATTCCCTAGCAGGTATCCTTCCAGAAGTGTGAATATATTTGAGATTATTTGCACGCATTCCTTTGGTGCTGCCCTGTCCAACGATGTCATCCATCTGCTTGACGGCACAGAAGGAATGATGATCATTTTTGGAGAGGGCACATCCCTGGGAGTGGTAACTGCAATATTAGAAGCAAAGCTCAAAATCCAACCATTTAAAAAAGAGAAGGAAAAACAATTCAGCTGTGCCAGTACTGCTCTAGGCCTTGGGAAATGTTAACATTAAAAAAAATATATATTATTTATTCATTTTTAGAGACAGGGGAAGGGAGAGATGGGGAGAAACATTGACCAGATCAGTCGCCTCTCCTACACTCCTGGACCGACGGACCAAACCCGCTACCCAGGCACGTGCCCTGGCCTGGAATTGAACCAGCAGCCTTTCAGTTTGCAGGCTGGC